GTTTTAACCTTTAAAGCCCTATACGGCCTAGGACCCTCGTACCTACAGGACCGCCTCTCCTGGTATGCCCCACAGAGAAACTTACGGTCTTCAAATAAAAACATCTTGAAGGTCCCAGGCCACAGAGAGGTTAGGCTGGCCTCAACTAGAGCCAGGGCTTTTTCGGCTGTGGCTCCGATCTGGTGGAACACTGTCACAAGAGACTAGGGCCCTGCGGGACTTTACATGTTTCCGCAGGGCCTGCAAGACAGAGTTGTTCCACCAGGCCTTTGGCTAGGGCACAGCCTGACTCCCTCCTTCGGCAATCTTCGCAGAGCTCTGGCCCAATGGTTGCCATTGGTTTGATTTGAATTAATTTTATAATGAATGATTTTAGAGTGTTGTGTTGTGTTGTGTTGTGTTGTACTGTTCTGTTGTACTTTTTTATTGTTGTTAGCCACCCTGAGCCCGGCTTCGGCTGGGGAGGGCGGGATATAAATAAAATTTTATTATTATTATTATTATTATTATTATTATTATTATTATTATCTTTCAGTAAAAATAATATTATTCATCTTGCTGTTTGTAGCGCTAAAATTACATAATTGACATTGTCATTATGTTATTCCATCCCATTCATTTTATTACAAAGGAAACAGTGCGAATATGGTGGTGGTGGGGAAGTTATCAATTTCATAGTGTTTGTGGACAGAAAGCAACTGTAACAGTGAATACCAATTGTATTTGCTGGATTGATTTCCATTCCAGGCATGGGATGAATAAGTGAATATTGGCAATTTGTGCTTCAATTTCCTCCAGAATTCTCCAAAACCCCTAGAGTAGAATGAGTCACAATATTCCCATTTTGCAGGTGGAATGAGGCTGACAGCTGATCTTCTGACCAAGGTGCTAGACTTGGGCTTGAACCCTATTTTCTAGGGCCCACACTATGGACTTTCTTTTCAGGCCTGTACTTTGTTTCTTAGGACAGAAGGAGCAGTTTCATACTTTGACTAAAGGACTTCTAGCCCAGTACTGTCTCCTCTGATTGGCAATTGTTCTCTAGAGTCTTCAGCAGAAACATTTGTATGACCACTAACCACCCTCTCTCTTAATTTTTAACTTTTCACCTATTCTTGGGTAGGGGGAGTAACTGGTTTTGCTTTTGCTTTATTGTGTATTTTGCATTTTCATTTTGTCTTTTTATGTTGAGAACCACCCTGTGATCTTTGAATGAAAGGTGGTACATAAAGGTAATAAAATAAATGAATAATCTAGCTTTCGGACAGAAAACAAAATAAAACTTTCTTCCACAACTGTTCTTCATTAGCTTGCTTTCTTTCAGTTTGCAGTGCTTGACTTGGGAGGAAGCCTTTCCTTTTTATTATGACTGTTTTCCAGAAATTTTTGGGCCCCAAAAAAGAGAGCACTTTTTACTCCGAGGAGCTTACAGAATAAAGTTAATTGGCATCCAGCTCAGTTCTATAGTTCAGGGCCTTAGTAAAGGTGTGGAGTATATCTTGATTCAAGCAAAACAAATTGATTCAAACCATTACTCCAATATCACAGACCCTTGCATGGCACAGCATCTGTGTAAGATTGCGTCAGGCAGCTTTGCAACTGTGCTTTGTGAAGCTGTTCCCTTGACAGTGAAAAGACTAGAGGCTAGAGCCCAAGGAGCTTTGTATCAGACAGAATTAAGTGTTAAGAAATATGCTTTTCCAAACACCAAACAGTTTGTGTTGACAGTCCCAGTATGCTAATATTAGCTTTCAATGGGTTATCTGTTTCTAAAGTCTTTAATTTGTTGTACCCCAGTTTTTAATCCAGAGACAATGGGAGCCAGGAAGAAAGTGATATACCATAGTCCAAACTCTGCTTCATGTGTGTGTCTGTGTTTTGTCTGCATCAGTTTGTCCTGTGAGATACCTGACTGCCTGCAGGTGAGAGTTAGTTTATATCAAACTAACTATCAGCTAATCTTTCTACTAACAGCTAGTAGAAATGGAAGAATGTTAGCATCTTTCTGGAGGACAGCCAGGCTTGAGGTGCTTACGGCTGTGATTGCAATCCTTTCCCCAGCTCAGCTCCTATCCCATTACTTCATTAGTTCTAACCCTTCTCCCCTCTATTTTTGTACTTGTGTCACAATGTGTGTGTATAAGAAAACCCTCAAACCCTGTAACCAAATCTTCAGTTTGGGTAGGGTTGATTTATGAAAGTAAAGTAGTAAAGTTTTTTGTTTTTTATTATTATTATTATTATTATTATTATTATCATCATTATCATCATCATCATCATCATCATCATATTTTATTTAAAAGCATTTATAAATTGCTGAATGTTTAAAAATCTTAATCAGAATACAAAAGTACATGTAAACAAAACAGTATGATAAAAAAGAGAGACAAAAATCAGTAAAGTAGTAGTATAAAAACAGATGAAACACAGTAAAGATAGGGTCCAATCTTATGGGTCCAGGGCAGTAGCAAAAAAAAAGCCTGTTTTTTGTTTCACTACCTATTTTGTATGATATGGTGCCATGAGTAAAAATTTTCCCAGATCTCTTAAGTGGTCTTACAGGTCTGTACAGGGGTAGGTGATCTTGATCTGTTCACAGGTAACCTAGTCTATTCAGTGGATCAAGTGCTTCTGTGGCCACTGGCTGACACAATCAAATACTGTATTTCCTTTAGTTCAGGAAATAGCAATGGAGGCAATGGCTGCTTCTGAGTGACCAGTTTAATGAGCGTTTAGTCTAATCTGTTTGTGGACAGATTTATATGTTGTTGGCTATTTGTCCTGATTTGATTGTGGGGGAGATTAGACAACGTTGTGTCAACCAAGCATGTGGTGTTATCCCACACTCTCCAGTGCATTTTCCTATGACTTTCCCTATTAAAAAAAAAAAGGATGAACTTCTGGGGAAGCAGGCATTTTTCACAAGAGCTCCAAATCAGCTTTAGTTGTGCAACCTGAATTTGTTGGGATGGGATAGAATTCTACCTGGAAATAATGACAGTCTGAAGGCGCCCAGTGCAAGTAGGAACTAATGGGCCTCAACCCAGGCTCAGATACAGTAATGGGAAAATTTAGTTGGATTATATGGGTTCTCCCCACCCCTCAAGTCAAGAAATGTATGTGCAAACTGGCTAGTAATTCCTGTACGGCAGGAGGTTGAACTAGTTGTCCTTTGGAGGTCACATCCAATTCTATGATTCTAATAAATTTTGAGGACTGGTAACTTGTTTGCAAGTGTGCATATACTAGGGTTGTCATCTGGCTAAAGAAAACTTAGCTGATTAATCATATAAGTGTTAATCTGTTTCAGCAGTTTATTATCATTGTTATTTATTAATTGTCTTCTGCGCAAGCGTTTCAAAGTGATGAACAATAAAACTGTGAAATACAGTTAACACAAATGAAAAACAAGGGATAGTTTTAAAAAGCAAAAACAAAACGAAATCAACATCCATGTTAGAGACCCATTCATCTAGCTGGGAAAGCCTGTTGGAACAAAACTGTCTTCAGTTGTTCCAAAAAGGGCAAATAGTGGACACTTGTCATCTCTCAACAGAAATGCTATACTGCAGAATAGGGACAGCCACACTGAAAGCCCTATTCTGAGTTAGTATGATGCAGACTTTGATATCTTTGCAACTTTTAGGAGAGCCAGTTTCTCAAGTAACCTGATCTTGAGTTAGTATATATGAGAAAAAGATGTACGTAGTTCTAAATTTTAAAAAAAGTTACTTGTTATTAGATTACGCATGCATATGTTGCAGTTAGGCATGAGTTTAGAGCAGGGGTCCTCACTGTGGGGCTTGCAGACACCAGGGTGCCCCCCATCTTGCCTACAAAAAGGTCCTGTGCCCTTTCCTCCTCCTTCAGATGTGGCAGCCATTTTGTGTTGGTCACACACCTCACAGCCACCATTTGTGACTAGTGCCTGCACAAAATTCCAAATGTGCACACTGGTGCAAGAAACCTCACTATCTTGTTGTAGAGGCCTTCTCCCTTCTCACACACTGGACTGAATGCCTCTTAACATATGCTTGCGATCTGCAGTTTATAAGTACTTATATTAAACACTTTGCCAAAATATTTTAAATTCCTTTATTTAACCGATTAAATGATGCCCTAACACCTACCAGTCTGTATAAGGCTACAATCTTGCAGTTACTTATTTGGGATTAAGCTCTAAGGAAGGGAGTGGTATTTTATTTTTTTTATATTTGGTGTCTCAGGAGACAGTTCTCTTTTCTCTGGATTTCATCAATCCTGCATGTTGGACATAGTTTAGTAGTGTATTTTTAACTAATCCCAGAATGTGTGCTCGTGCTGATATTTTTGTTGCTCAAACTGCGAGTGGAGCATGTTACCATGAAGCATTAATTGTGTTATAGTGGAACCTTATGGAAAGCAGGTTTCCTATAGTGAGTGTATGTAATATATATATATATAAATATAGCTAGCAGCAGGTGCCAGACTGGGACCTCCAAGCAGCAAAGTCTTGTAAAGTCCAGACAGGATACGGTTATTAACAGTGGGCACATTACTCTGTTGTCTTTATCTTGTTGTTGAACCTTAATCCATTTTTAAGGCAGAAAACTTTGAGTCTGCAGACATACAGTTTACTTTCTGTGTGTGAGAGAGGACACTTCCATAAGAACAAGTAGGATCTGGAACACAATAAATGCCAATTAAGACCAGAGATGTAATTAGTCAGTGGGCAAACAACTTTAGTAACTCTTCTGGAATAAAACATGCTAGAGTCCAATAGTCCTCTATATTCCCTTACCTGGCGAACTACACATTGCCAGCATGGAATATTCTGCAGACATTTCTCTCTTAGCTTCTGAGAACTGGTGAAGCCATTTCTGCCAACCTGATGTTTTAGGACCTTCAAATGGAACTGATTTGGTTGTGGTGGTTATTTTTTCCCTTTTGTGTTTTTCTTCCATACAGCTGCTGTTGTGAAACATTTCTTACATTTTAATTTTGTTTCTGTTTTTCATCAGAAAATGAAGAGCTTGGCCCAAAGGCGTCAATCGGCACCATCCTTGGTTCTCAGCAAAGCGCTGACCAAGTCCAGAACAAGTGTCAGGTAAGGTGGAATGTGTTGTTTCTGGCTGTACTTTTTTGCAGGTTTCCTGGCCCAGATCATAATGTGTTTTTGACAACCACACAAGGCTGAAACGCTGTCTGGAGAGAGAGTTGTTAAGCCACCCCCACAGCGGCCTTTTCCAGGTGGTATTGATTCTGAAAAGCACGTACATGTATTGAGCAGAATGTGATCAAGACTTCATAAACCAGGCTTCCCACATTTTAAGATATCTTGGATTAGAATGTTGATAATTGAAAAGTTACTTATTTACTTAAATGTATATCGTATCTTCCTTCCTAGAACGCAAAGGTGGCATTCAACTAAGTTTTATTCAGAGTAGACCCATTGACATTAAGGAACATGACTAAGATCCGTTAATTTCAGTGTTCTACTCTGAGTAAAACTTAGTTTCATACTACCTCAAGGCAGTATATACAGACCTGCTTACATTTAGCATCTTATGAATTGCCCAGGGAACGTTTTGTTCTAGGTTGGCCTATAAATGGCATACATACCTAATAAGATATTCCAGTGGGGAGCTTTGCAAGAAAATTAGTTATTTGACTTCAGGTGCAAGTAGTATATGGCCTGCAGGCTGCATGTAGCTTACATACCCTTTCTGCAATTTTTGACCTCTGGGTTATAATCTGTGGGAAAGCTGCTGCCGTGTAGTGTGTGATTTCACAGGATTATGCAGATGAATAAAGTGCTCTGCAAGTGAAATTAGTATGGTGTAAAGGTCAGTTTGCTCTCTGAGGACCCCTGCCTGATATTGGGTGGGAGCCCATTGCTATTTACTGAATGAACATTTTCCTTTCTCCCAATTGATCCCAGTCAGCGGTGTAGCTAGCCGCTTGGGTGCCGCGCGCGTGTCCTGCAGCCGGGGGCGAGGCGCACTGCATGGAGCCTCTCCACCGCCGCTGTAGGGTGGCTGAGGGAGAGGTGGTGGGGAGACAGAAGTCCCACGCTGCCGTTTTAGGTGCCTTCAGGTGCCCAAGCCACCGCATCACTCCCAGGAGACATGTGTGGCTTGGGCACGCTGCAGGCCCCGCGATAAGTGCCAGCCATGTTTCATTACGTTTGTTGACTGAACTAGAAAGTTTCGTGAGCCCAATTTTTATTAGTATTATTTTTTAAAACTCTTATTTTTGCCATTTTTTCACCCCCCTCAGTGATGACACCCAGGACAGCACGCACCCCCCCTTCCTCCGCCACTGACCCCACTTTATCCTTTCCACCTTCCTGTAGGCAGGTTATGCTGTAAAACTGTGTGTTTGGTCTTACACCTTACTAGTCCAACCTCTACCATACTGGCTTTCCACTGAAGACATGGCTCTGTGTTGAAAATGATTGGTGGGAGTGTGGTTTCCTGCTTTACCACCAACCTACCCATTGTTTTGCTGTGAAAATTTTTTCATTAGTCATGAATATGTTAGTTGGCTTATGAAGCTTTGAATTGTGGAGATGATTCTGGCCGCAGTTACAGTGGCGGAGGAAGGGGACGAGGGGGCGGTCCGCCCTGGGCGCCGCTGCTGCAGCCGTGAGCGGAGGATCCCTCCACTGTCGCTGCAGCCACGAGCGGAGGACCGTGCAGCTGCGAGCAAAGGATCCTGCCACCGTCCGTACGGTGCCGTCTGTAGTGGTGCATGTGCTGCTGGGAGGTTTGCCCTGCCCCTGTGGGCGGTTCGCCCCAGCCCTCATCACCTCACACCAGGTGCCGGAGAGCCTTCCTTCGCCCCTGCGCAGTTATCCATGCGCTAGGAACAGTTAAAGATAACTCAAATGAGGTGTATAGGAGACTATCTTATCTGCTAGAGATGGTGGGTTTCAAACTTCCCATCTTCAGAGAACCACTTTCACATTGACTTGCCCGTCCCAGAAAGCCTGTCTACTGAATTCCTTTGCTTGTGCAGCAACCTGGAGCATATAGGGTACAGTCAGTTCATGCTGAGCACTGTGCTGTAAACTTGCTCTTCATGGACTGAGTGAACCATAGAGCACTTCTAGTACTTTTCAAGGTACTTTTCAAGGAAGCTTATACGTGATAGACTCGGAGCTCAAACTAATTTCTATGACACTGCATGCGACTTGAGATGTATCTGGATGATAAGATTTAGCTAATGCTTGTGCAGCATTTTCTACCTGCGTTGTCTGTCTTAAAGGACTTATGTATCAACTATCCTCAGATTAACTGGCACTGGAGAGATATGTTTCCCTCTCCACATTTTAATGTTCTATCCCAATAACCTTTTGAAGCAATTCCTACTAATTTATATGATAGTTCATATAATTTACAGGGATTGCATCTGTGAAAGTAATTGGCAAAATTACATAGGAGCACAGTTTCAATGAACTCTGAGCTCAGTTCAGTTGATTATTTTTTCTCTTACTCTCCCTTCCCCCGCTCCCCAAATTTCCTTCTCTGATTAACAAGAATTCATTTTCTTCATAATCAAACAAATGGTGTTTGGATATTCTGGTCTGTGCTCGGTAGATGCTTGACTCTTGTGGATAGCTCCTTTTTATAAGCAGAAAAGAGCAATGAGTGACATGACCTCTGGTATGTTCAGATCTTCAAATATTTTGTTTTTAAAGCTGTCTTAATACTTAGCACCCTTTTGTAGGCAAAACATTGATTTCAAGCTTAAATGGATTATAACTTTATTCTGGCACTAAATCCTGTTGTTGATACTTAGTGCACTGTCTTTTTAGTGGTTGATTAATGATCTGTAGATTACAAAACTCCTTTCCAAATCCAACTTACATCTGTGGGGGATTAATATGAATAGCCTTTCCTTAGCAGTTGAGTCATTTCTGTATTTATTAAACATAATGAGGGAGTTTGGTCAGGAAATATTTAGAAAACCTAGTAAGTTTATAGCTTCATACCATTTTATGGTCCATTCTCAAATGTCTTCTTAGTACATGTATATAAACAGTACCTCAACATAGCATTGGCCTATGGGATTATCCCACTTCCTCCTCCTCCTCCTCCTCCTCCTCCTCCTTTAAAAACTCTGAATGACTGTTTCTAGGATCCAACTATTCTAACATCTGCAAGTAGGTGGTATTAGCATTTTATAGAAATTACAGCATGACTGTAATCATGCCCTGGTTAGATAAAGGTAGATCCTGTTGACTTAGAATCATAGAATTGTAGAGTTGGAAGGGAATATCAACTAAAGCATCCATGAAAAAATGGCTATTCAACCTTGGCTTAAAAACCTCCAATGAAGGAGAGTTCACCACCTCCCTAGGAACTCTTTCGTTGCATTACTATGAACAAGATAGATGGATATTTTTGTCCACATCTGCAATTTCCATTTTGTAGAAAGAAACGTGGCAGGAGGCACTCTATCCTGCTCTGTCCCCAAGGTTCCAGGTTGATACCTTTAGAAACATTGGGTGGTGTTCCCCTGCAAAGAACGGCCCGGCCATGTTTGTTAATTTCATTGGGTGTTGTTGTTGTTAGTCATTTAGTTGTGCCCGACTCTTTGTGACCCCATGGACCAGAGTATGCCAGGCACTCCTGTCTTCCACTGCCTCCCACAGTTTGGTCAGACTCATGTTGGTAGCTTCGAGAACACTGTCCAACCATCTCGTCCTCTGTTGTCCCCTTCTCCTTGTGCCCTCCATCTTTCCCAACATCAGGGTCTTTTCCAGGGAGTCTTCTCTTCTCATGAGGTGGCCAAAGTATTGGAGCCTAAGCTTCACGGATCTGTCCTTCCAGTGAGCACTCAGGGCTGATTTCCTTCAGAATGGATAGGTTTGATCTTCTTGCAGCCCATGGGACTCTCAAGAGTCTCCTCCAGCACCATAATTCAAAAGCATCAATTCTTCAGCGATCAGCCTTCTTTATGGTCCAGCTCTCACTTCCATACATCACTAATGGGAAAACCATAGCTTTAACTATACGGACCTTTGTTGGCAAGGTTTTTGGTGTACTCTTAAGTAAAACTTAATTCATTGCCACCCATTATTTCCTTTAGTATTTCCTTTAGTAGCAAAGCTGGGTAATAAGTGCTGACATAGACATAATTAGAACCAAAAATGCGGGTACTGAGAAACAAGGGAAAGATATTGGAATCTTTAGGGGAATCCTAAGATTTGTAGAATTATTATTTTTTTAATCCCTAAGAGGACAACATTTTTTAAAAGCCCAGTGAGAATTGATCGTGCTTAGCACCAACATATAAAGTTCAATTTCTCTTGGAAAAGGAAAGTGGGAAACAGAAGGAGGAGCAAAATGGCTTGATTGAGCTCCTTATAGCTTATAGTATTGCATGGGACGACTGGCACCAACATTTCTGGTTGGGACTAAGGATCACAGCATCATTTTATTGCAGAGCCTCCTTGCATAAATATAATATAAATCTAGTTAAAACTAGGATGCAGTCTACTTGCTAATGGCAGTGTACCATTAAGCACACAATTGATAAGAGCCACCCTACCCTTGACCCATCATTATTATTTCAGGCTTGTCTGGATTCAGTGGATTTAGTTTTGCCAGTTAATGTACTGATAGGACAGCATTGGTAATATTCAGATATCCTTTCTATTTTTATGTTTGTTTTTCTCTTTCTTCCATCAGTGCTGGAAGATTTTACAAAACGCTTGCAGAATTTTCCCCTTTAAAATTGACTTTTGTGGGAAATGCTAAGCAGGTTTGCACTAAACATGTTGAAAATGACAGTCCAGGTTTCAGCAAAAACTGGATCTTGCATTTAAATCTGTGAATATCCGATAAAAGGATAGCTGGCTGCGAGTATGGTACACAGCTGTAATCCACTTGTTTACCGTTGGGACCTCATTGTGTGGGAGGCATCTCAATGCTAACTCGTAATGCGGTGCTTGAGATATGCCTGAAACCAAATAATTCTGTTCTTTTCCAATTCTAGTAAAAAAAAATTACTAAATGAAGACCCAGCTAACAAAGCCCTGGTGGTTTGAGCTATGCAAATACAGAACTTTTGGGCCAAAACTGTTTTGTTTTCTTCATA